TTATCAGCTGAAATCTCCCTTAATTCAAGGTGATTTATTTTGGGGTCCTCATTGCTTGCCCCTGCCACTCCTTGGATTGCCCTAGAACTCCTGGACAGGCATCTCAACTTTGCATCTCTGAGAATGGGGACTCGGATATGGGTGTCTTTGCTTTCAGAGAACCGTGGGACTCCGCTTCCTCTCATGCAGCACACAAAGAAGGCCGGCCAGCTTCTCTAAGCCCCACAAGTAAAAATCCTGGGTCAGCCCAAACCCCAAGAGGAAAAGGACGGGACCCTGGTGGTCCACATCTGCATAACGAAGAGGGCACACAAATGATCCTTCACCAGAGGACGAACACCTTACCCAGGTTCCTTAAGTCTCCGCCTAAACCAGAAGTCCTCAACCTGGGGATCAGGAGTGGAATTTAGGGGGGTCATGAACTTGTTGGGGGGAAATATGACATGCCATTTTCACTGATCACTAACTGAAAGTTGCATTTCATTCCATTATGCATGCAGACATCACACCACGGTAGGATAGATGGTTTGGCTCCTGGGACTTGTCACCAACAGATATCACAGATGCTCTCATATCCCACTACAGTTGCTGCAGATAATTCAAAATAAATTTTCAACTCATCATGAATTCAAAATTATGATAATCATTAAAGCTGTCACTAGATCTTGGTACCCAGTGCCTAAAGAAACATATATTGCTACATTGATGACTACATTTCCATCTATCTGCTTTCCTCTCTAATTCCGTGCATTTTACCCGATGCATGTGAAACTGTTCTTCTGGGGAAGTCCGCAGGCTTCCTCCCAACTGCAGGAGGATCCATGGCACAAGGTGAATTAAGACCCCGTGGCCTGCTGGGCACGGGAGCTCACGCCTGTAATCCCAGCACTTTCGGAAGCCAAAGCAGGCAGATTACTTGAGCCCAGGAGTTCAAGACCAGCCTGCGCAATATAGCAAGATCCCATCTTTACCAAAAAATACAAAAATTAGCCAGGCATGGTGGTGTGCACCTGCAGTCCCAGCTACTCAGGGGGCTGAAGCAGGAGGATCCCTTGAACCCAGGAGGTCGAGGCTGCAGTGAGCTGTGACCAGGCCACTGCACTCCAGCCTGGGGAACAGGCGTGAGACCTTGCCTTAAAACAAAACAAAAGACCTACTGCCAGAGCTTTCACCACTCTCAGGGAGGCTGCCTGTGGGAAGTAGAAAAGTTCCTTTTTAAAGTTTCCTTTCTTGTTAAAGAATAAGTGTGCTAATAACTTTGTTAAGCCCTATGCTATGTAGCTGTTAGACATGCCATGCTTACAGGCACATAGTACGTTCTATGTCCTTGTACTTTAACCAAGATATCTGTGCTGGACGTGCTCACAGGCATGTCCCAGCTCTCCACTGCTTTTACCTATTTAGAAAAGTGTTAAGTTATTAGCCAATCAGGTTTTAGTTTAAATTGTGAGATTTGGCTCCTGCCAATAGAGATCAGACACAACAGTAAGGACGGGCCCAAATGTTTAAGGGATAAATGTGTGTGTTTTCCTTTGTTCATTGTACTCTTGTGGCAAGAAGGCCAGGGAGGGTACCATTCCTGCACTCCAGGAAGTAAAAATTGCATTGCTGAAAGACCTTTGTCTCAGTGCTAATTTTTCTTTGAGGAATCCAGTGTCTATTTCCAACACTGCCTAAAGCCCTACCTGAAAAGGATGGTAGGTTTGTGAGTCCAAAATTCAGCCTGGGAAGGAGCAGGGCTATCGTGGTTCCCAAGAAGAGCCCAGACAAGCACTCAGCTGAAGGAGCCTCAAGTGTGAAGGTGGAAGAGCACTTAACACAGAGTGCTCGGGGCCTGCAGGAGGGAGCCGCATGCCCAAGTGTTATTCGCATGCCTCTATTGAAGGGCCCAGTTCTCGATGGCCACTGTGGCTGTGACCAGTGTGGACTGAAACACAGGGTTCTCTGCAAAGAGTGCAGCCATTGAGGGAGGCCCCGGCTAGGACCGGTGCAGGATACAGCTTTTAGGAGGCAACTAAGGTAACATGAAATAAGGGTGGGGCCTGATCCCATAGGATTCGTGTCCTTAGAAGGAGAGACACCGGAGAGTTTGTTTCCTTTCTCTCTGCCTCTGAGGACACGGTGAGAAGGTGGTCATTGGCAAGCCAGGAAGAGCGTCCTCACCAGAAACTGACCCTGCCAGACCTCGATCTGAGACTTCCAGCCTCCAGCACTGTGAGACATAAATTCCTGTTGTTCAAGGCACCCAGTCTGCAGTGTTCTATTGTGGAGGCTCAAGTAGACTGACAACATAATTGCCATATATGGGCGTTTTTTGCAGTGTAAAGTCCCAGGGAAGAAATATCAATAGCTTACAGATCTCTTAACCCTCAATTTCATCCCACCTTACTCACATAATTGAAACAGTCCTGCTTCTGGAGTCACATATTTTTTAATACTGGGAGAATAATGACTTTTTTCTCCACCCTCCACTAATGTGGGAAGTCCTTTTTGCCGTGGGTGCCCCTCCCCAGACATCTCTGAGTCTCATGCTCTGCTCTAAAGCTCACACTGATTCCCCTCGGTGAAAGCTGTGTTCTGGCTGCCACTTGAAGTCTGTACTTAAGATTTAGGAAACTGAAGGAAAACCACAGCAAAGAGGCTGGTATCTGCTGCCAAAGGAGGCCATGCCCAGCGGTGCCTGATCTATCATGGGGAGGGAGTGGTCTCTCCACCTACCTAATTCTGCCTGGAGACCCACCCCACAAACACGTCCTACCCTGAGCCAGTGGTCTAGAGCCCTCCTTAACCACTCCAGACTCACTGGCCTCAAGGCTTCTCCACTGCCCCCAGGGAAACCCCTCCACCTACGCTGCTTTTAGATCCTTAACGTAAAGGGTGAGTCTGTCATCTGAGGAAGGGGTGGAAGAAAGAGACAGATGGTTCACAGGACAGGATCGGGACTTAGGGAATCAGCTATTTGGAAAATCTGGGCTCTGGCACAACTTTCCTAAATTCTGTGTGGCCTCCACTGGCAAGCTGCTCTGAGACACCGCTTGAATGAGAAGCACACACTTGTCTGTACCTCCCCATCTGCATGACACACAGCCCAAAGCCAACTATCCAGAAGAGATGGAGGCAGCCTGTCAGTGCACACTAAGCAGCCCTTGCGAGACTGCGCTGCCCCCCGTGGAGATGCAGGCCTCCCTCGCAGGCAGCGTCCGCTCACTCGTGGGCCTCCGGAGTAAGCTGCCATCTGAAGCCTTGAAGGTGAGCCAGAGCCACTTCTGGCTTTGAAGTGACAGTGCTTCTGATCCCGCCTCCCGAGACTTCAAAGCACAAAGGGCCACGTTTCTGTCGTGCCTCATGATTGAGGCACCACGTGGCCGTTTCTGCAACAGCTTTGCAAGGACGGCACATCTCGCCAGCTCCTGGCCTGGGAGGGAGTGCTCAGAGCTGAAGTGCGGGCAGAGGCACATCTGTTTTGTCCTTCTGCTTCAAACTCCTGGAGTTCCTCTTGACCTGCTCTCCGTACTCCCTCAAATGGCCATTCATGGCCTGTGCCCTGAGATGGCCAAGCTCACCAGAGAAGCGAGCTCTGGGTGGAAAAATCCAGTGAGGCCTGCGATGGTAGTTTCAGAGTAGTAATCACCCCAGAAAAGGCATTATTTTGTGTGTCTTTAGGTCTTCTGTCAAGGGACTCGAAGCAAACTTCACTGTGAAGCTCAGAGAAGAACCTAGGCGAATCCGCCCTGGGAGGGTCGTCGAGTGGTCCCAGTCAGCCTTTATTTGGCCCTGGAAAGTCGCTGTCTGCAATACAACTGACCCTCGAGGACAGACAGAGGGTGGCCGGGCGTGGGCGTCCCCATGCAGCTCCTTCTCCTATGGGGATGTCCCCGTCCCCACCTCTTCACGTTCTGCATGACAGCCTCTTCTCACACCAACACAGTGGCTGTGGCTCTGCCCAATTTCTTTCCACACTGGTCTATTAACGAAATCCGTTCTGACCCCTAGGAATCGCTACAACTGTTGCCAGGCCTGAGTCATTTCAAGCACCTTTGCAATCATCATTCCTTTGTGGTCACTTACTCTTCAGACGTCTTTAGTATCCCGTGGCAGTTACATAGTATTTGTATCATGACTTTCAGCTTCTGAGCATCCCCAGAGAGGTGACTCTGTCTTTCTCTGTCCTCCTCACTGGCGGGGTTGGACATACAGTTGACAAATGCATCTTGGGGACTGACATTTTCCAAGTCAGGTCCTCCCTGGGGGCCAAGGGGAGGTGGTCACTACTCTGAGGGGACGCAGCCTACATCGGGGGTGGCTCCTAGGTGAGCAGGATATGGCTCAATGGAGCAAAGATGTCTCCCTTGGCCCTCAGCCCCCAGGCCGTGAGCAGCTGCACTCAGCATTGTGGGGAACTCAGGACAGAGAATGGCCCAGGCCAGAGCCTAGCAGTTCACAGCTGCCAGGAGCTCCCTGGAGGTCAGCAGACACCGAGAACCCAGGAGAATCCACCCTGGGAGAGTCACAGTCGCCCTACCGGAGGTCAGAGAAGGGAGGGAAGGGCCACCCGTGGAGGACGGCCCACCTCTAGAGACTGGCCCTGTGTCTTCAGCCCCTCAGTGGTCAGCAGACCTCTTGTGCTGGGCCCCTCACCCTCATGTATGCACAGGAGCCAGGGCCTGTGGAAGCCACTGCCGTGTCACGGTGGCCGTGGGACAAGGTAGCGGGGGCAGGGTGGGTATGTGGGGTCTGTGCAGCCTGGCTGCTGCCACGGAGAACCAAGGACCCACGTGGATGCAGGGGAGTGGGAACTAGACCCCAAGGGTCTCGCTCCTGGTCACCCAGACAGGCCCAGCTGTGCTCCTGAGCAGCGAGGGCCACTCCCTGCAGCCCCACACTTGGTGGCCAGGTGGCTGCTGAGGAGACCAAGATTGCTGGGTGACCTGGCAGGGGCCATCTGAGGCCTGCTCTTCTCTGGGGCCGGTAAGCTTAGTCCAAGACAAGGTCACACAGCATCACATGAATCTATTTATTTGGCGAATCAGGTTAATCAAGTCATTTTTTTTTTCCAGTGCAAACCCTCCGTCCCTCCTGTGCCACTGGGCTCTGCTGCCAGTCATGGGGTGGACTGAGCTGCTGCTGCCTGGGTCCAGACTCTCGGCCCTCCTGCCGAGCAGCCGTAGTGGTCTGCAGCATAGATCTGCACCCGCTGCCACAGATACTTGGGACAGTTTGGGTCCCCAAGGAGAAGAGACCCTTCTTCCCACCACGTTTCGGGATGGGTCAGGGTCACCAGGGCCTACCCACAGGTCCATAGTTGTCACATCACACTGAGACTGCTGATGCCCTCCAAGGACCTACCCCTTATGGTCACACAGCTCATGGGTCCTGGCTCCCCTCGCTGACCCACCCTACATGATCAGTTCCTCTCAGCGGTCTAGAGCCTTTCTGTCACCTGGACACAGTCATGCTGCACAGAGATAAGATTTCACGTTTGGACATCGCTGTGGATGACGGGTGGTCAGGTCCACCCACCCCTCTCTCTTAGGAAGCCACTCTGACCTTAAGCACATGGCTAGACCCAAGTGCATACGAAGGGCACCACTCAGCTCCAACAGGCAGCGTCCCAGCTCCTCGTGCAAAGAAAGAAGTGGGAGGAGGGTGGTCCCTAAATCCGTCCCCCAAGGACTCTGATCCAAACCAGACAAATGCCCTGTTGCATGCGAAAGTCTGGATTCCTCAGAGTATCATGGGTGTGTCTCTGTCTAGGGTAGCCCAGGGACAAGGCAGCCTGCAGGCAAGGAGAGGAGTATCTGGGGCTTGGGGCAGCCAGGCAGTCTTACCTCTGGGTCTGCAGAGCCTGACTCTGCGGCTGCGGTTCCTACAGACCCAGCCCAGGGGCCTGAGCCTCTGATCCGGGTCCCTCTGGTCGGTCTGGTCACTCCTCCACATCCACTTCCACCCCTTCATTGATGCTTTCCTCCTCACCCTTCCCTCCATCCACCTAGGAGGAGGTGCACAGAGCGCCACCTGAGCACACAGCAGCGGGGGCTGCTCCTGAGAAGGCGGCTCCTGCCGCTCCATGGCTCCTAGACCGGCCGGGAAAGGCTCTCAGGCGGGAAGCAGCTCAGCCAGGCTCCCCACGCATCCTGCACTCCCTGCAGGCTTCAAGCCTAGGGCCATCGCCCAGCTTCCCTCCTCCTCCTCTTCCTTTTCCTCCTCCTCTGCCAGTCCAGGTTTATCCAAATCCCTCTCTCCTCCCTGTCCTGCCGCCACCCCTCCCGAGCCCTTCCCACCTCCCCACATGGGTCCAGATCCTACAGTAGACCGCAGTTGCTTTTCCTTCTAAAGACCTTGCTCACATGAAGTCTCATCAGTTACTCGTCATCCCACTCACTCTGCCGTGCAAACCGCCCCACAACTGATCCTTCTCATCATTTCATTCTCCAGGGCAGCTGAGTCATCAGAAGTCTTCCGCTGTCACTGTGCACTCCTCCTCCAGGTCCTTAGAGAAGCCATCCAGGCGTGACTCAGTTGTTTACAGTTTCCTGGGAACTGCAGGGACTCCCCACCTTGCCTTCTTTCTCAAGCCTCCCAGCCCCCCACCCCACTTGTGCCTGGCTGCCTTATCTTCTCCCTCCCAGCTGCCAGGGAGGGACAGCTCCACAGGCAGTGCCACGGGTGCCAGCTGCCCAGCCAGGATGCAGGTGAACAAGACCTCCTCCACCCTCATATGGTGGAACCAAGGCAGGCCTGATTCTTTGCCATTGTTTTCAAGGAAACTAGTGTCATGAGCAACTTCCCAGCCTGTTTAAGACAGAAAGCGAGTCAGGGGTCTCCCACTGCCTCTCCTCACCCTGGGCCAGCACCAACACTCTATGCCGTGGCCACCCTGATGGTGATGGGGGAGGGGCTGTCTGCTTCCTTCCCCAGGAGTGTCCTGTCCCGTCACGGCTCTTGGATGTCATTCACACCACTCTCGGTCATTCTGCAGCCTTCTCATGGGCACAGAAAGGTCCGGCTGGCTTCCTTCACCTTTCTGAGGCCCACTGGAAACTTGGGTGATCCACACATGCTTGCCCAGCCCCAAACACCACCCCCACTTGCTGCCATCTCAGTGAGGCTTTTGGCAACACAGCTCCAGAAGGGACTGGAAAACGTAAGCCTGCTCCGTCCCGGGACACCCAAACTAAAAAGGAGCTTCATTCATCCCTACCACCCTACCTCTGCCCAGGACACTCTCCCCCATAACTGACTCTCTTAGTTCCCCCCTCTACCTCCTGTCTTTCTCTTTCTTTTCAGAACCTCCAAGTCTAAGAGAAAAATGAGGAGAGTTGGAAAGACCTTGTTCACATGGTCCATTCTCTTTCTTAATTCTTCTGGTCTATAGTTTTTGGACTCAGAAATCAATAATTCACCTGGTTTGGGGGTTCTTCAGAGATCCCTGAACACTGGGTGGTACATGTGGAGCTGTCTGGGCACTGGAAAAAGGTCTTTGGGGTATAATGAGCAAAGCTGGCACTCAATGGGCATCAAAGAGAAGCATATCAGTGAAGATGGCCTGGATCATCCCACCACACTGAAACCCTGGAACACGATATCCATTACCAGAATTCAGAGTCAGGGCTTCCTTCCCTGAGTAGGGTGTCCTTCCCTTAGCCCCGGGAGATCATAGTGTCCTGCAGGACCCTGGAAGGCCGGTGGGCTTTGATGTTCATGCGGAATTCCTCGATGACAAAGTAGTAGCAGAAAACATCCAGGCAGCAGTTGATGTTGGAGAAACACATGGACAGTTGCAAGAAGAAGCTGATCCTCTGCCTGGCTCTGCAGTCCACGATAAAGCCGTTCCTCACCAGGAACTGCAGGAAGAACCCCAGGTGAACTGGGAGGAAGGAGACCACAAAGACAGCCAGGCTGACTGCAATGGTGTAGATGCAGGCTCTCTGCTGCACCCAGTCCTGGGTGTGGTCGCGGCGGCCCAGCAGGATGTGGATGCTCCTGGAGGAGCAGAAGCCCATGATACCCATGGGAAGGAGGAAGCCAAACACCTCCAGCGGGAAGACCACCTTCGCACTCCAGGTACTGTCAGACATGTTGTGGAAGCACATGTAATTCTCCACTGTCCCATGGAAACTATAGACAGGGATGCTCCCAGTCCACACCAGGACCCAGATGGTACAGCAGATCCCAAAGGTCTTCCCGGGGGACCGGAGGTGGTTGGCCAGGAGTGGGTACCGAATGGCCAAGAACCGGTCCATGCTGATGAAGCAGATGGTAAAGACGCTTCCGTACATGCTGATGAAATAGAGGCACTCCACCAGGGTGCACAGGGACGGGAAGGGGGGCCGCACATGGGACAGGACCATCTTGAACGGGAGGGAGAGCACCAGCAGGAGGTCAAAGACTGCCAGGTTGATCATGTAGATGGAGGTGGCAGCGTAATCGGGCCACCTCTTCTTCAGGAAGGAGCTGAAGCCGAAGATGGCCACCAGGTTGAGAAGCAGGCCCAGGAGGAAGGTGGGGATGTGGACTGTCAACTGCAGGGTTTTCATCAGCTCGTTCACGCCCTCGAAGGAGCAGTCCCCGCTGGTGTTTGGCTGGCTCATGTTTCTTCCTACGACACCAGCAATAGATCAGATGGGACTCCTTTCACTCTCTTGAAGTGATAGATTCAAATGACTTGGTCAAGAATAACAAACACCTCCTGGCATCACACAGCAATTCATGCCCATTGAATCACAACTAGAACACAGAAAAGAAAAATGCCCTTGAGTGCTGCTGGCCAGACGCAACCACTGTTACTTTTCGTGCATATCAGTCCAGACTCCCTTTCTCACTCTCTTTCTACCATACTCACATTTTTCTTTTACAAATATGGAGCCCTGCTGTGCATGGACAGCTGTCTTTTAAATCAGAACTCCTTTCGTTGAAAGAAGTAACAACATATATCCCAACCCAACAGGCTTTGGCAAAGAGAGAATGTCACAGAATGGAAAACATGAAAACTAGTGTAGGGCTGACTTCAGGAGCAGCTGGATCAGGGATTCAAATGCTGTTTCCAGGGTTCAGTTCCTCTTGTTCCTTCTGTCTTCCCCCACCCACCTTCCTGATGGTTGGACAGAGTTGACCTGCAATGAGGAGTGATTGACACCAGAGCATCGCATTACCCCGGACACAGTAGTTGGTTAACTCATTGGTTCAGGGGCAGACATTTGACTCTCCAAGAGGCCATGATAAGCCACACAACTTTTGCTTGGGTTTGCAGGCAGAGGGTCGGAGTCTCGTTAGGGATTCATAGTTGCCAGGATATGAGGTCTACAGCGGCTGCAGCCTCGTGTACTCCAAAGAGAAAACCAGACAGACAATGGAGACGAGGGAGAAAGGGGATTCCCAGAGGGAATGAAGCACGGGCCTGAGGTCTCCACCGGGCCTTTAGTCAGGCAGAAAATGAGAAGCGGCCTCAGAGACAAGTGGACCAAGGCTGTAGCTATGGTCGCACACGGGTGTGGTCTGAGCCTGGGCGATTTGGGATGAGGGGGTGAGTGCCATTATGGTGTTCTGTATCAAGGTATGGAGTTCTGGAGCAAGACAGAACCAAGTGTTCAACCCAGGCCTCCAGAACAGAGGCTGCTAGAAAGAGGATTCAAATATGACCCAGCTTCTACCCTCTCCCCACCCCCCACCTCTGCCCCCCTCCTCACTCCCTCCTTTCTCACCCACTCTTCCCTCTCCCCACAAGCGAGGCCACACTGCTGGTGTACTCGACTTTGACTGGTCTTAGACACGGAACGTGCCACATTCACTAGTGCACAGGACCACGGCGTTGGCCTGGCATCTTCGTTAACTGCTTTGGCAGGAAGCAGCTGGGTGAGCAAGTACAGCCAGGTCCTGCCGTGAGACCTGCCTCCCTGTGCTGCGCTCACCTTCCATGACTTCTCGCCTAACAGGGGCGGAGATCCCAAGATGTCGATGCAGCAGGGAGGAGACATCAGCATGGACTCCCACCAGAGCATCCTGTGCTAGTGACCACTGCAGCTATTATTTTTTATTATTATTATTATTTTGAAATGGAGTCTCCCTTTGTCGCCCAGGCTGGAGTGCAATGGGGCGATCTCAGCTCACTGCAACCTCTGCCTCCTGAGTTCAAGTGATTCTCCTGCCTCAGCCTCCTGTGTAGCTGGGATTACAGGCATACGCCACCACATCTGGCGAATTTTTTGTATTTTTAGTAGAGATGAGGTTTCACCATGTTAGCCAGGCTGGTCTCGAACTCCTGACCTCAGGTAATCTGCCCACTTCGGCCTCTCTCCCAAAGTGCTGGGATTACAGGCAGGAGCCACTGCACCTGGTCCTGCAACTTCTGTTACTAATAAAAGCTTCCATTATTCATTGTTTTTCACAGCTCCTGTTATTAATTTTGAAAGTATTCCATGCACTCAATAAGATATTCAAAGAGAACAAAAGAACATACATAAGGAAGTCGGCCTCCATTGTACCCTAAGGCCTCAACTGTCCTTTCCAGAGGCAGCCATGGCTTACAGCTTCTTGCATAATCCTCCCAGACATTTTCTCAATATACGCTTATATGCAAATACATGCATGCATACGTATACATGTATGACTTCTTTAAAATTTGGAAATAATATGCCTGCAGCTCCTATCTCTGGCTTTTTCACTCAACAATGTTTCTTGGGCATTGGTCTACATCAGCATATGTGAATGTCTTGTTTGCCTCCCGTGGTGTAGGTATACCAAAACTCATTTGGCCAGCAGCCTATTGATAAACATTTAGGTTTCGAGTGTTTTACCAGGAAACAGTGAATTCCACAATAAGCATTCCTGTGACTTATTTCTTTGCTGTGCAGCTATTGCTAACAGAATTCTCATTCTGCTATTGTTTCTCATCACTACTGGGAGTCTGTGAGAGGAAAAAATTGGGGTATTTTTTAAGATCTTACATGGAATACCATTCCCAAGCCCTCTGATCCCTAATGAAAACGAAAACAGACAGACAGATAGATAATTTATTTTTGAGACGGAGTCTCACTTTGTCACCCACGCTGGAGTGCAATGGCATGATTTTGGCTCACTGTAACCTCTGCCTCCCGGGTTCAAGCAATTCTCCTGTCTCAACCTCCCAAGTAGCTGGAACTACAGGCATCCGCCACCACACCTGGCTAATTTTTGTATTTTTAGTAGAGACGGGGTTTCACTATATTGGTCAGGCTGGTCTCAAACCCCTGACCTCAGGTGATCCACCCGCCTACATATGGAAATTTATAGGTACATAGATATATCATCCATTGAGCACTATGCACTAAACATTTAACGTACATTACTTGATTTGGTGGCTTTCCAAAGATTCTGTGCTTTCCAAGGTGTTAACTTTTCTCACGGATTTATGTCATTAGAGATCTAGGAAAATGTACTTCCTCATATTCAAAGCCTTGGTGTCCTGTGGTTTGTGGGACAGTTTGTGCGGGAGAAACTGCTCCTCCTCAGGATCTGCAAGCTGGCTGTGGCTCCTCCTCACTAAACATGCTGAAATGGCCGCAGGCCCAGCTCAAAAAATTACTAGAATAGCTTGGAACTCACAAGGTAAATTTCAAAAATGATGAGGAAGGCAGGCCAAAGCCCCGCTTTGGTCTAAACGTAAAATGTTGCAACACCAAAGAGGAAGATGGAACCAGCTTGGGGAAGTTTCCTTTAAGACCAGAAACAGCAGAAAACCAAAAACCACAAAGATAAGAGCAAATACAAGTTTCTGTTTAAAGAGATCCAGTAACATTTTGAAAAAGGAACTGAGGGCATGTCTCTCTCTGGGTCACACTCACTGATTAAGAAAAAGCAGCCACCAATGACGAAAGCTCAACACTGAGAGTCCCTTACTGTCGACTGTTACCGGCAAACTCCACGGATGAGTCCACCATATTGCTGGTGGTTCAAAGTGGCCAAGAAAAAAATCAGTGAGGCTCAAAGTCCAACCCAAACCCAGATGCAATGTGTGGCTGAATTGGGGGAATGAATGAATAACAACAGGAGAAAAATCGTCTGGCAGAAAGCACACAACCGAGGGTGCTGGGATGAGTCTACTCCGACGGTGGTAGGTATATGCATGGAAAATAGACACCATCTGGCCAACAGTATTCCCCAGTAGGATTATTCTTAAGGTCACATTTGAATTACAGACAGACTTCAAATAGAAGCTTCTCGGAGGGTAGTCTTTGAAGCCACAGAAGGCACTCTATGGTCTGGCAAGAAATGAGGTTGAAAAAAGACTGCCAGCTAATGGCAGAGTGAGTAGAGAATCTGAAAAATTAATCTGAATTCCCCCTGGAAGTCCAAGGAAACCATCTTTTTGAGTCTTTTTCAAAAAATCAGGAGCTTCACTGTAGTAAGATAAAAAGGCATCAATGTACTCCAAACTGCAGCAAGAGATGAAACAGTAGTCACCCTTCTCAAAGAAGTTTGCTAATATAAAGGCAGCCTACTCACGGGGAAGGGAGGGGAACGGGGGTGGCAACAGCAACTAGCACCATTGACCTGGGGCATGGGGCCATTCCCTCGGCAGCTCCTGTTCTGGCAAACCTGGGGGTCTACCCCAGTCAATCAATAGCACTGTAGTTGGCTGGGTGGGAGACTGAGTCCCTTCAGGTCCCCTGAGAAGCAGATGCTAAGGCAGTGTTAAATAATCCAACAGCTGAACAGGGGAAGTGCCTGTGAAGGACAGCAGGGAGAGGAGCAGGAGGCGGTGGGGTGAGCCTTCAGAACACCTTCGAGTCTGATGCTGTGGAAGGAGATGGAGAAGGAAGGCCAAGGTGGGAAGGACTCCAGACAGCAGCGCGGATCTCAGCCTGTCTTGGCCAAGCCATGGGGCATTTCTGAGCAAAGCTGCCTTTTGGAGGAGCCCCACATCATCAGAAATCACCCCAGGCTAGTGTCTCTGTCCGACTCAGGCACTGGCTAGGAGCAGCCCAAGGAGAGTGGCGTCAGCATCAACGTCACCATGGACCTGAAGCAGCAGAGCTGCGCTGACTGTGGTCGGAGCTCCCAGCGGTGGTTCTCTGGAATTCCAGGGAGGTCTCAGCAACACCCCTGAAGAGCTGCCAAGGGGCCATCCCAATGCTGCCACTGATGTCGGGATCTGGTTGATGTCACAGGCAGCAGTGGGGATGTTCCGAGTCTCCATCCCAGCAGCACCATCTGCGGAGTGCTGACTTTCTACCGTCCCCAGCAGGGATGGTGGGCGCCTTCACCTCCTAGAGGACTTGAATGGGGCCTCATCCCAGCCTCTCCAGTAGGAAATAGCACTGAGTAAGCAAAGGTCATGGGTCAAGCAAACAGCATCTGTGAATGCAGCAAAAGGACCCAAAACCATGTGAGTCAGCAGCAGCATGGTGGCTGAGAGGTGCAGCTGAATGGAACTGTGGCGTAAATGAGAACAATACAGGAGGTGAAGTGCCATGTTTTATACAAAAGCTATGGAGAGGGCCACTCTCAGATGCCCTGCTGACACCTCTGAATGTCCTGCTGCCATGTTTAAATGTCACTAAGATAGAGCCTCACAAACATCCATGAATAAACAAACCAAGTTCCTTGGAAACCTCTGAAAAAATAATTACACCAGAAGAGGTTTGAGGGAAAAAATTTGGGTGCAGGAATTTCGTATCCAACCAGGAGTTCCTGCGTAAAGAGGGCAGAAAGCAACTCTCGGGTGGATGGGGCCTCTAGAAAAATAGTCA